TCAAATCAGCTAAGTAAAGCGATATCAAGAGCCTCAAGGCGGGAAGTATATGCATGCTCGGTCGCCTCGTTCGGAAATCCTTTGCGATGCCCCAACTTGCCTCTGTTTGCAATTGTTCTCAGAACCTTGCACCAAGCTCCAGAAAGCTTCTAACTCGTCTTGGGGACCTGTGGGAGGGCTGTCGACCACCTAGGGGTGTTTCCAGCCACTGGCCGACCACTCTCTATTGCTGCAGACCAGAAAAGTGGTCAGCCAGCTAGTTTTTCTAGTTAGCCGACCAGTTTTTGCTACACTTATCCAATTTGCTGCAGCAGAGAGCAAGAAAGGGCATGGCAATGTATTTGCAAGGTATGTGTGCACAACCACCCTCCCTATCATTTCATAAGCTCAAGGGAGTGTGGTTCTCGACCCTCAGACCACCAATCACGCATCTCGATGCATGATGGCCGATAAGCGAAATTGCACAATTCAACGTAAAATGAATGCACTCATAAACATATAAAGCCTAGAACTCTATCATGTATGATTAAGAGGGTCGGCGACCGAGAATTGAGGCACGTTTTATCACTTCAAGTATGAAACGTCCCTCGTTTCTCGTGTTTGGACTAACACCTAATCCAAACAAATGCAATGCGACTCAAGCATGCAAACATGAAATGCAACTTAAGCATGCAGACATGTAATGCAAGGCATGCAAAACACAATACAACTACATTGCATACTCAATGCAAAAGATAACATGGCATACACAATGCAAAGAGCAACATGGCATACACAATACAAACAACATGATGGCATACTCAATGCAATGTGACATGATCAACTTAACAAAACTAATGACATGCAAACAATGCTAATGCATGCATACACAAAGCAAGGCAACATAAGCGTGCAACAACATGGCAATGTAAGCATGCAAATAACATGAAAGCAAACATGCTTAATGGACTTAAACCAAAATGGACAGACCTCAGTCATGCCCAATCAGTGGCCATAACACCAAAACAAATGCATGAAATGCAAAACAAAGCATGCACATGCATTGGCCTATCAACTAGGCCTAAGAGCACAACTCTCAAGAGTGCTCAAGAAGTGATAAACATGGGAGTGTGGTAACACTAAAAGCTCTGAAATAAGGTATGAAATGATGCCAAATCATTCAAACAATAGGCACAAGGCGTGCTAGAGTCCTTAAGGCATAAGGCTAGCAAAGAGCAACACATAGGAGGCATGCAAAACATGGCACAAATACATGAACCAACCATGGACAGAGCTTAAGATGAGGGCTCAAGGACCTAGGCAAGATGGTATACATGCTAGGCCATAAACTAGGCAACAATGCATAACACACAAAGGCACTTAAAGAGTGAATGAAGTGGGAACATGGCAATGCTACATTCTCTGAAATGTCATGGTAAATGATGCTAAATTATGTACACAACACAAATGAAGCATGCTATGGTGCTCAAAGCTTCAAGCAAGCATAGGCATTTGCATTACAACTATGCAAAACATGAAGCATATGGTCGAGGCAACCTAAAACAGTCCTAAAACATGTCAAAATGAGTCTAAAACATGCATGGAAGGAAACCAAAATAAGCTAGCATGAAGGGCATAAGGCGTGGAATATGTAAGGCAAATAAGGTAGATTGCACTACACCTATCAAGACCAAACATGAGATGGCTTCGCCAACAAAAATTAGAGTTATATCATGGCAAAATAACCCCCAAAACACATTGAAATGATAGCTCGCAAGCTTAGGCATGAAGGCATACACAATGGTTCATCTAAGGCAAAAAAGGGCAAACCTTCCAACGCATTGAAAGAGTGACAAATGCAAGTGTATGACCATGAAACATGCACTGAAATCTCATAACAAATGATTCCAAATCATTCAAATAGACCAAGCAATGCATGCTAGTGGACTTGATACACAAAGCTAACAAGCTAGAATGTATTATAGCTATACAAAGCATGGCATGCATGACCAAAACAACACAAATCAGAGCTTAAGCATGCTAAAACATGGACAAAAGCTTCTTAGAGTTAGGCCAAAAGCATGCTAGAATGATGATCAAAAGCATGATACACAATAGGCCAGTTCATGGAATTACACTACAAGTGCATGGAGCCTGCAAGGGGCCATCGAACCAAATCTTAACAGAGGTATGACAATGCAAAACATCACCAAGAACATGCTGAAATGGACTCAAAACAAGCTAGAAAGACATGCTACTTCATGAAGCATACAAGACTAGTTTATAAGAAATACACTACAAGTGTATAAGGCATGCATGAGGTGACAAAACCAAACCAAAATAGCAGTATGGCATGCTAAAATAACCCCAAATACATGCTAAGATATGGTCAACATAAGCTTAATAAACATGCTCACACATGAGGCATACAAAGCAAGTATACAAAACACAAGGAGAGGGGATGACCCTCTCTTATTTGGGACCTCAAAACACCATTTCCACCACTGAAATTCCTCTGAGTTTCAGTGGTGAGAAGGCCAAAATAAGGTGGTCCCAATAGCTTGAAAGAATGGCACAAAGCAAAGGCCCAAACAAGGCCTAAGAGAGGGTAGACCACCCCCAACACAAAAGTAACCTTAAACAAACATTTTAATGACTGAAAAAAAAAACTTTTTGCAGTAGGAAGTTAAGCCTAAAACACCATGAAAATAGGTCCAAAAGCTTAATCAAAACAAAGGGTTAAAGGGTTAAAGGTTAGTTGACTCACCCTTGTAGAACCTCTTCAAGGCTACCACTCCATCAGCTTTCCTGGATCAAAACCAGTCCAAAAGCACCAAAAACAACCTCAAGAAGCCTCAGCAACAAAAGGATGTGTTTGAGTGTGTGTTTGTGTGCAAAAGTGTGATAAAATGACACTTTAAGGCACAACAATGAAAGAGATGGAGGATTATAGAGACAACGGTGTATGTATCACTCCAACCACAAAAATCTGAACCTAGAAAAGGGAGGAGGAGGTTTTTCCTTATAGAGAACATGCAACAAGCTTGTTGGACAAGCTTTTGGCCTAAAGCCAGATGGCTTCTGTGCCTTCCAGCTGGCACAACTGTACTAAAAATATCTCCAAAAAGGTAATGAAAAGCAGCCGACCACTTCAATTGGTCGGCCGACCACCACAAGTTGTCTCCCAAGACAAAAAGTGGTCATCCAGGTGGTCGGCCATGGGGGGAGAAGGTCTACAGCATGAAAGCAAGGCAGTGGTGTGGTGGCCGACCAGAAATGGTGGCCCAAAGACCAAGGAGACCAGTTGGCCAACCAGAAAACTGGCTGGCGGGAAGAAAAGTGGTCTCCAAGGGGAAAAATTGGTCTCCCACCCTTGTACCACCTTCCAAACAAGGAAAACAAGGTATGTACCAAAAACAAACCAAAAAGGATGCAAGACGAAAGTTCGGGAGTCAAGGCGGGCGGCCGGGAGACTCGAAAACTAGTCTACAGGCACAAAAAGTGGTCTATGACCACAAAAGTGGTCTCCCGGACCACAGTGTCCCTCTAGGCAGAGGCAACAAGGTGTGGTTCAAAAACCAAGCCAAACAGAGAACGTTAAGCGGTCCTGAGGCAAGGCGCGCGGTCGAAGACTCCGAAAATTGAAAACTAGTTTCCAAGAGCGAAAAGTGATCTACGACCGCAAAAGGGTGGTCTACAGACCACTCCCTCCCTCCAGGGAAGAGAAATAAGGTTCGGTCCACAAACCGAGCCAAAGCACAAAGCGTTCAGAGGCCTGGAGGCAAGGCACTCAGCCGAAAACTCCGAAACCTCGAAACAAGCACAACATGCACTATCACCGAGCGCTCAATCGATGACGTCTGAGTCTTAAGGTCAGTCAAAAATGGGGTGTCTACAGCAAGCAGCGGTAAGAACAACATCACCCCAAAAAGACTTAGGGACATTCATGGTAAACAAGAGAGAGTGAGTAACTTCAAGAGGATGGCCATTCTTGCGTTCGGCAACCCATTTTGCTGAGGAGTACCAACACAACTGGTTTGATAAAGGATGCCATGCTCCTCTAGGTATGCTCGAAAAACTCCATCAACATACTCAGTCCCACTATAACTATGACGAATTTTGATTTCAGCATTAAAAAGATTGGTCACCATTTTATGAAAAGTTTGGAAACAAGAAAAAACTCCAGTCTTAATTCGAAGCAAGTAAATCCAAGTCACACGGGAATAACAATCAATAAATATAACAAACCATCGACACCTAGAAGTAGAAACCATAGGGGAAGAGCCCCACACATTGGTATGAATAAGCATAAAAGGAAAAGTACTTCTTTTATTAATTGAAGGGTAACAAGTACGTTTATGCTTTGTAAGTTCACAAGCATCACAACCAAAAATACTTCTAGGACAATCATGAACTAAAGAAGGAAAAAGTTTCTCTAAAACACTAAAGGAAGGATGACCCAAACGGTGACGCCACTAATGAAAGAGAGAAAGAGGAGAGCCAGTAGTGCGCTTGAGAGCTTGAGATGGGACGACAGGAGAAACGGCATCCAGAATGTACAGCGCACCTTGTGCTCTACCATTGCCAATCGTTTTCCGCATAACTAGGTCCTGAAAGACACAATGAGTAGGAAAAAAATGTCACTGAGCAATTTAGAGAAGTAGTAAGACTACTAACAGAAAGCAAGTTAGTGGAAAAAGTAGGACCATGAAGCACAGATAAAAGAGAAAGCAAAGATGAACAATAAATCGAACCCTTACCAGAGACAGAGGATAAAGTGACATCAGCCACTCGAACCTTGTCTCGGCCGAAGCAAGGAGAATAAGAATAGAAAAGACTAGAGGCACCTGTCATGTGGCCGGTAGCACCGGAATCAATAATCCAAGAAGTGATGAGAAGGTACTAAGAGCACTAGCAGGAATACCTATGTTGGAAAAATTGGAAGAAGTGGAAGTGGAAGAAACTATGGTAGAAGGAGAGTCAAGTCGAGCCATCAAACGCCTGAGAGTGTGTAACTCATCCTAAGAGAGAGTGCTAGGCTCAGAAGAAGGACTCACAGCAATCTCAGACAAATGTGTTTGGGGACGAATTGTACTACCACAACCTCGACGCCGAGTAGGGCGACCATTCAGTTTCCAACAATGCTCTCGATCATGTCTATCTGTCCCACGATAATCACACTTCAAGCGATCTCGATCAACTAGTGTACCTTGACTCTCAAACTGGACCGGACTAGGCCGAGGAGCTCGAGGAGGAGGAGCAACAACTAAAGCAGAACGATCATGAATAGAGGAATGAACCATAGCACTACGGCGACTCTCCTCTTGCTGGACAAGGGCATAAGCCTCGCGTAGGGTGGGACAAGGTGAACGACCCAACACCTAGACGTGAATCTGATCATACTCCAAGTTCAAGCCAGCAAGAAAGTTCTATACACGCTCCTTCTCCACGGTTTGCTGAAACAAAGTGGCATCCCGAGAACAAACAGCCTGAAAGCTTTGGTAATAGTCTAGTTCTTGGCACAAACTACTCAACTCAGTATAGTAGACTGCGAGTGATCTATCTTTCTGATCTTAGCTCCGAAGCTTCTTCCTCAACTCATACGCCTGTACATCATTACCCTGTTGGGAGTATATTTGGGTTGTAGTTGTCCAAATCTTATGAGCAATATCTAATAAGAGAAAACTCTAACTGATGGTGGGCTGCATAGAGTTGATTAGCCAAGTCATAACCAGTCAACCGACGAGAGCAATAGCAAGATTACAAGAGCATGACCAAATCAAATAGTTGGAACCATCCAATTTAACGGGACTAATTTGAAGAGAGGGACTGTCGATAATGGTAATAACACGACGCATGCCACTCTCATCACTAATGGTATCCTTAGTCTCACTCTCAACCATTGAATATTAAATCCCTACAATAGAAAAAACAAATACTAGCCCAAAACAGCAAAAAAAAAAAAAAAATAGAGGCAAATCCACAAACTCAACTTAAGGACAAAAGTTACCTCTAGAGTCAAAAACAAAGCTGAAACATGGGCTAGAGAGGCCAAAACCCAGCAGAAACTGAAAGAAACTACTGAAACTGAGGAAAAACGAACGAAAATAGAGTGGAACCTTACCAAATCATCAAAATTTGAATATTAAATCCCTACAATAGAAAAAACAAATACTAGCCCAAAACAGCAAAAAAAAAAAAAAAAAAAATAGAGGCAAATCCACAAACTCAACTTAGGGACAAAAGTTACCTCTAGAGACAAAAACAGAGCTGAAACATGGGCTAGAGAGGCCAAAACCCAGCAGAAACTGAAAGAAACTGCTGAAACTAAGGAAAAACGGACAAAAATAGAGTGGAACCTTACCAAATCATCAAAATCAGGTCTCCCAACCCTAGGACAGTCCCAGTCGGCTCCCAAGGTAGAGGGACGAAGGGAAAAATCAGCCAAAAACAAGCCCTAGCAGGGACTTCCAAAAAATTAATCAGTTTTTCCAAAAATGAACAAAAATTGGAAAAACACTCAAACACTCATCAAAAAATTAAAATAAAAATGTAGGGTGAAAACCCATCAAATTTCAACCATGAAGGAAATTTTTTTTTTCCCCTCTTGTGTACAGGGAAAAACGAATGAAACCAAGAACAAGAGAAGAATCTTCAAGGAGGAAGATGAAGCTCTGATACCATGTTAGATTTGCGTAAAATAAAGAAAAGAATGAGTGGAAGAAAAGAGAGAGTGCTACTGCTATTTATTATTTCACACAACTAAACATATTAGGGTTACACATACTTATAATAAGACACTAAAGGAACAAATGACATAACTACCATTACACACTAATACTTAACAGGTTTCAAGATGCAATTCACTGCAAAAAACTGAATATATTTTGCATATAAAGCTCACATTGTTTAGCTTGTCCTTGCTCAACATGATTATTGTGAAGAATGAAAGAGTAGGTTATTTTAGTCTCGGAGATTCAGATAATTGAGTTGTACAATCTTCTATGTTCAGTTTTACAAGAATTTTTTGTGAAAATCTCGAGGATATCATATGGAAGCCGCCTAATGAATCCTGGTAATCAAGGATTACCAAGACTAAGAGCAAAAGGTGATAATTTAGTTTTCTTCCATGTTAACAATTAAATAATGTTTGTTGTTATATAGGGTGATCTTTGTCTTCCAAAAACTACCATCGCGTGTTTCAACCTTAGGTTGCAGCATTGATTAGGGTTACCTAGCCCCATTGGCCACAATCTCCACCCTTTAAAAGAAAAAAGAGAAATAGTATCTTAATCTTTCTATATTAGGGTTGTAAATCCCTTTTGAGCGAAGTTTTCCCAATTCTTACCATTGTAATAACATTTTGTAGTTTGACCTGTATGACTGAACTGTTCTACCTATGGTGTTTTCCAATTCTCACCATCATAATGCCATTTTATAGTTTGAAATGTGTGAGCTTACAATATTGCTATTTTGCTATTGTTTGGATGAAATTAAGCTTTTACTTTAAATTCTTCTTCTACCAAAATGTTTGTTATAATTTATTTTTTATTTTTCTATTTTTGAATATTACCTCAGTAGTTTCATCGAAATATATGTTGAATGTTTGTTAAAAGAAAAAATTCACTACACAGAATTTCATATGCATGTTAATTTGAAATAGATAAGAGGATTTTGAAAAATAAATTTTATTTCAAATGTACATCTAAAAAAAAGTCATTATATGAAAGTTTTGAAACAATTTTAAAACAAAAAGTTGTGTGAAACACTCGACTCTGAATATATACAAGGGCATTTATGCCATTTAAACTATGTTTCTCTTTTTTGAGAACCAACTATTTTACTTGAGGGACCTTCTATGTAGAACTTATATTTGTATAAATCAGTAAAATCTTATAATGAGGGAGTTTGACACTCTCATAAATTAACTCCCATGGTATAACTGATAATGGTCAATTAAATTATTTTTTTCCTTTTCAAAAACAAATAAATAAAGAAATCAAAATGAAACAATGAATAGAGTTGTAAATTTACATATTTGACCAATCAAACGTACAGTATATATCCCAATCATCTTACAACACCACACTCAACATACATATGTGGGAACACCATTAAACAGATCATACACAATCAAATAGAGATTAGAATTCAAACAGAGTTTCTAAAACACCAAGCAAACAGAAACCTGTAACATGTTATGATAGAACCAAATATAAACTAGATACTTCCATGACTCTGAACAACACTTGAAACCCAATCCAGGCCCTTACTTTAAAAGTTCACAGCGAAGTGTCTCCTGCCATAGCGCACCAAAAATGTTAAAGCTTTGCCTATGATCGGGGGAAAAAAAAAAAGAAATGAGAACCAATATAATTTACAGAGGACTTACGAGTTTCGTCTCAACCGTAGCCTGAAAATGTGCAGTGCACCCCTTGAGCCTTGCAATTTCTTGTTGCATGTGTAAAACTTCAGTGTTGAACTGTCGTAGAATCCATAAAAACGAAATGCAAAGTGAGAACGATTATAGAGAAGGTGATAGAGATTCAGCCAGGTAAGACCCTTTATTAATTAACATTAAGGTTCTAAAAGTTCAGACACTTTTACTGACTAAAATAACATAATCAAGATCCTTACCATTTCCTCCTTGCCCATCCTGAGACGACCAGAAGAAACAAGGAAACTAATTAGAAAATAAAAATAAGAACAATTTTGATCTCCAATAATAACTAAAACCAATGAATGTTAGTAAAATGAAAACAGCCTCAAGGGTTCTTTTGTGAAGGCAAACATTCTTGCCACCATTGCCCCTTGTAATGCTCCAAACCTTTTTGTGTCTCAGCAAGCTAGTGGCCACAAAAGAATCTGTTATAAGTTGAACTTTACCTTTCTAATCTAGTGATCTAGGAGTTATAATTGTTGAGCCAAGGAGGGAATACATTGCAAATAATGCTTCTATAAAAGAAGTTGGCAACTCTTTGAAAATTCCCAAGTCTGGAAGTACCATTACTGAAATAAATCTAATAATTAACATATGTGTTTTGTTGAAGAATGATTTTATTAGAAAGCACTTAATAATTTGAATAAAATTTATATGATATTGTTCAAGTAGAAAAAATTGAAAGTTGTGGACGAAATTTTGACTGTATAGTACTTCTATCTGTGTAAATGCAATCTAATATAATCTCTACACCACTTTAAACAAGTGGTTGGAAGTGGATTTTGTTCTTATTGTTGAGGACTAAATTTTGACAAAGTTAATAGGACACATGTGATGGGACTTAAGGCTTGGTTGGTTTGGTTTGGTTTTTAATAGGACACATGTATCTTGTTTTAAATAATTGAGGTTGTAGGGAACAAGAAAGAATAAAGGTAGATTTCCTGCTAAAATATAGGAAACATGTTTTAATTGAAATCACATTTTCTATTAAATAAATCTACAATATGTATGTTATATCATTCAGTAACAAAAATAAATGTTAATGTGTATTACCTGCGTGGCTCCAAGTAAGATTCTTGAAGTCTAGACCTAACATCTTCTATAGCATGGAGAAAGTGGTTCATTGTTACTTTGAAATCATTCTTGACATGTTGCAGTAATCCATTCTCCACTGTGTGGACCACAGCATATGAATGTGCACGAGTGACTAGAGATGCAAGGGCAGAGCCACTACAGCCATCCATCCTACAAGCTGTGCAAACAAGCACACGCACAATCTCATTTCATAAATGATGATTTGATGTTTCCACTTACACAACAATATTGCTCAAACAACTTACCAATTTCATGAAGATTCACATCTTTATCGAGTACAAAATGTTGTCTCATGTTCCTTGTGTAGATGCCCAAAATTTGTAGGCGCCATTGCTCATCTAGGCACTCTACTTTGACATGTAGTTCGATTTTACCTTCCCTACAAACAAATACAATAAATAAAGCACTTTTTTTTTATTTACGAAAATGAGAATAAAATAAATAGCTATTTTTAAATATATATATATATATATGTTTGGTTAACCATAAAAGATAAATATGTTTAAATAATTTCATTTTTCTTTACTTGATAAACTCAAAAGTTGAACATACCATTCGAGTTCAAAAAATGTGGGACATTGTTCAAAAAGAATAAAGAAATCAGCAAAGAACAACACAACGGAGAGAAGGTTACCTCAGCAGGGCTTCATCGATGAGCTCCTTTCGATTTGTAGTACCAATAATAAAAATGTTGTTCAATGCTCTCGGGCCATCAATCTGAAAGGCATGCAAATTTTCAAGTATTGCCCAGACAAGGAGAAACAATAAAAATAAAAAATTGAAAAACGAAATCTGAGAGATATTAACCATTGCAAGTAGTTGGCTTACAAGCCTATCATCCATATGGTGTAATCCCATAGTTGACCCTTTTTTCTGCAAAAAAAACCAAGAACATATTTAAGACATGATTTGCAATATACATATGGAACCAAAGAAGACCACGCTCACTCTCTCTTAATGCTTATGATTACTTTCTCATTGTTGCCTCCTCTACCCTTTGTTTATTGTTAGGATTTTTTCATCCTAAAGAAATTTAAGATTTATGTTTTTGCAATACCTCTCTTGACAAAACTTAATATGATTGTTTTTTATTCAAAGTGTTTTTGTTTTTATTATTTTCTTGTTCATTATCTTCTTATACATTAACATGATTCATGATGCTTGTCAAGATATGGAGATAATGTTGTTGAATTTTCAAGTTTGAGAATGGCAACTTTGGGATGCTCAAATTGGCTGTTTGTCTCAGCTTTTTGGTGTCAACACATGGGTGAAAGGATAGAGCTTCACATGTGTGGACTTTTTGTGGATTTTGTTGGATCTTCATTGATAGCAAGCATGAGGATAAGACTTTGACAAAGGGATGGACTTTACAGAGCTAAATGGTGGCTTAGGGAGGCTGTTTGTCTATGATATAGGCTGACAAAGCATGGAGCAAAACGTGCAAGAAAAAAAAGCAATGGGTTAGAAAAAGCTGCTCAGCCGCATGCACCATCATGCCCGTGAGAAGCACCATCGCATCCATGATTCACACACAGCACGGTCGCACCTGCGAGCATGCACATCACGCCCGTGACTAGGCTTTGCCCAAATGACCAGCTCCCAAAAATTTGCTCTGCAACCCGCAAAGGGACACTGCGGCCGCGACCAAGGCTGATTGCGCCGGCGAAGTACCCTGCCTCAGGTCTATTTAAAGGACCCTTTGCTCATTTGTTGAGGCACCTTTCCAAGACCATTTTAGCATCTCTCCAGAACATTTTGTATCTCTCCCAACACTCTCTAGAGCTCAACATTTCCAAACTTAGAGAGAGTTTATTTTGAAAGAGATCATTTTTGTAAGAGAGAATATTTTGAGAGAGTTTGTATTTTGAGAGAGTTTATTTTTAGAGAAACATATTTTGAGAGAGATTATGCTTTTATTTTCTTAAGGATCTTTCTTACCTCCTTGTATTAGGAAAAAAATTGAAGTTCTATATGTGGTTGTGTGTGTGATTTGAGGCTACATGACCTAGTAAGGAAGCTATCTAGGAATTATGGAGGATACTAAGATGACACTACATCATCAAAGACTAGCTAGGTCAAAGCAAAGATGGCTTTGGGAAAAGAAAGAGTGAGGAGTTGTTTCAGAGGTCTAGAAGTGAATAACCAAAAAGCAAAAGATGGAGATATGGTTAGATTTTTTTTATGCATGAATATGGAGGCTATATTTACAAGGATTGGGTTACATAGGCCAACTCACCTAGTGGCCACAATAGCTGGAATGGTGGTCAAGTGTGCTCAGATATGAACAAGTCACTTGTCTTTGTCACACTCTAGACTTCTCTTCCTGTCGAGATCTCTCCAAGGTCGGTCAAGTGCAGATCCCCCCCACAAGAATAGTACGAGGCATCTCAACAAATCTTCATTTCCAATATACCAAGTCCAAAATTCCTATGATCTCATGCAGAGTCGTGAGGTCTCTTGGGTGCCCCGTAATCGTGGCACCGAGCCCAAAGGTGTCCCGAGGCTATTCTATCTGATGTAGAATGGCATGAGTGTATTAGGGTGACTGGAAAACAAGTATAGAATCATAAAAGAGATGGAAACTTGACTTGCCCAAGGAGGCCCAAGTGTGATGGCTCAAGTGGATACAAGCGCACACAGGTGGACAGTCCCCTTAATCCGGGAAGGAAGGCCAAATGCACCTACAAGGCTCCCTGGAGATAGCCTCCTTCAATTTTAATACGAGAGATGCTATATGTGCTGTGGGTAGAGGTTTTGGGATAAAGGGATCCCATGTTCAATACAACTGTCATGGTGAAGCTATGAAGTTCATGCAGATGTGATGATTACCAAAGGTCAGTCAAGTGCTTTTTGTATTTATACGCAAAACAATTGAGTGCTTATTGTTTAGGAACCACTTTCTAGAAAAATGGTTTCTTGCCTAGGTGACCATTACCTTTGGGGTCTTCAGATAAGATACAATGCCTGCTATTTTCAGAATTCAAAACTTTCAACCATGATCAACCCTTTTCATATAGAATAGCATTTCTATGTTGATTGTTCACACTGATTAAAAGCATAGGTTGTTTAAATTAATAAAAACATTTAAAAGTGGATGACAAGTTGAAATCACAAATCATAGGGCATCGAAATAATGTGGAAGCAATGCTAATTAATCTGGACTACACACTCAATAGTGAATGTGTGTCTTACAAAAGCATATTGATATAGAAGCATGAAATTCAAGCCTTGTATCTTATTGTCAATATTTCAAAAGACGAGTTACAATTACTAATCTGGAGTACATATCACTACTACCAATAAGGAATAAAGAGACATCACACAAGTAACAAATTGGCCACGTATGACATGGGAATGAAATGGGAGAAACAGAACATATAATCCATGGGAATACGAAAACACCAAAATGATGTCAAACCCAAACAGGGAAAAAAAATACTTGAATTATGTCAAAAACCTTAAGTCTGATATCATGAAATTAACACACACACATATATATAACATGAATTGTAGGTAGCACAACTAACAGCATTTAGAAGGAGCAAATGTTGCATCTGTGCTCACCTTAGCAATGGAATCAATTTCACCAAATATGATGACGTGTAGGTCACTTTTAGCTCCTGAAAGAAAAGATTAAAGGATCTCACTATAAAAGCACAACAAAGTGAATTTAGAATGAACATATGTAGGCATCTTTGCCAAATTTATTTTCATCCTCAACGGCTGCTTTAAAGAGTGACCTTATTTTCCTCTCTGATTGACCTTGGAATGCATCTAACACATCCGGTCCATTTACAATCTGCATGAATGGGAGGAGAAAAAGAAGTGCCAAAATAAGGTTAAAAATAGTGGAGAGAGAGAGAGAGACCAGGGGCTCTTTTGCATTTAGAAATTTGCAAATGCTCCGTGCTATCAAGGTTTTTCCAGAACCGGGTGGCCCATATAGAAGCATTCCTTTTACATGCTTCAAATTCAGCCTAGCACAAGAAAGTCAATAGTTAATAACTTATAGTAACTAGATTGGGGAGGGGGGCCATGTATCATATGCTAAATAGGCTGGCCACTAAAAAAAGGGAAGCCCACCAAGACCAGTTCAAATTCCCGCAAGCATATGGAAGCAGATTTGGTCATGAAAGGGCACTACAAGCTTAAGATGTCCCCATAAAAATGAGTCTTGCGTATATTTTCAGTGTGTAACATTCTAAAGGTAAAAGAGATATATTTCTATGGATTCTTGCCCATTGTAACGAGTTGAATCAAATTGAATTTTTTGCCCTTATTATTATTGTTGTGGTGTTGTGAACCATTCTATTTAACTTGATGAAAACAAATTATATTACTTGTTGATTTCAACTTCGTAAGGCTCGTTTGGCAAATTTATTTTATTTTATTTTATTTTTTTTAGTTATAGTTATAGTAATTCTTGGGTCTTGAGTAATAAATGAGATATAAATTTAATTTTTGGGATTCATTTGATTAGCCCATACTTAATCATTTTTGTTCATATTTAATTATGTGAATGGTGGGGACCATTTTTAAGTCTTTTAAAATTGATTTATACTTTAATCTTAGTTGGAGATTTATTTTAAATTATTAAACTCCATTCATTTTAGACCTAATTGATTGAATCATAACCCGTTTGTGACCATGTATTATTGTTATTATTATTATTATTTATTTTATAATCTTGAGAGAGTTACAAATATTTATGGTATGTATCATCAAACGAAATATATTTTGTGGTGATAAAATACTATATCATTGTTGTCATTTATATTACAAAATATTATAATGATGTTGAAATGTATTTTTTTTAATTGATATATATATATATATATATAGATGTGTGTGTATAGATAGAAGTGTATTGGATAAAATAAATAAATAAATAAAATAAAAAGGGTGGAGCAGCCACGTGGGGAGGAGAGCCCCCCTTTCCTTTTATTTTTTATTTTTTTTTTGTTCTGGGCAGAGAGCAACTCTCTCTCTCTCTCTCTCTCTCTCTCTTTCTACTCCCTCATTTCTCTCATCTTTCTCTGAACACGACCACAAACCCTTAATTCTTTTCTTGATCTAGCAAGATCCATTGAGTTTTTGACCATAGTTCTTTAGGTCAAATTGAAGAACACTTCAAGGATTTCATTTTGACCGGTGGAGATCGAATTTCGACAACATCGAATTTTGGTGTTTTTTTTCATTTTCTCTCCTAAAGCTTTGAGGTAGGGATTTTCTAAACATTGTGTATATATTTTAATGTGTTATTTTGATAGTGTGATATTTGAAAAGATTATGGTTTTATTAATGGTATATTAAATGTATAAAAATGGGGAAGTTCTTAACTTTTTTTTTTTTTGAAAACCAATGACTAGTTGAGTTTTTTTTTTTTTTTTGGTATGACTCATGGATGTTGAGGAATGTATTTTATTTTATTTTATTTTTGAGAAATCCCCAAATTTTAATAAAACCTAGAAATCTAAATGTTAAGATTTAGATTTTTGGGATGAGTTTGTGAAAAGCTTACAAGAGTTAAAAATACATGTTTATTTGAACAAATGAGAATTTGAAAGTGGATATTTATAGGGATGAGATTTATGAGAATGTTGTCGGGAATATTGAAAACCATTGAGGTTTCTTTTGAAAATTGTTAAATTTGAAAATATTGAACTTTTGAGAAAGGTGAGAATATTTGTCATGTTGAGCTTTTGAAAATTGTTGAAAGAAAGTATGTTATTTTTTGCATTATGAAAATTCTTGATGAATTCTTGAGTTCGAATAAAAAGGGAAGATTGATAATTTTTTTTTTTCCAAAGAATATTATGATTCTTGATTGAGTTGGGAAAGAGGAGATTGGACATGTGATTGTTACTCCTATGTTGAAATGATTGAGAATATGAGATTATGAGTTATGTTGGTCTCTTGAAATTTACATTTTGTATAGGGATAATTGTTTGGGCAACCGTGGAGGGTTTTATTGATTATTATAGAAATTGCATGTGTAATAGGTAAATTGAAATGTTCGTAAATTCATGCATGGTATTAAACATTGCATAATCTCATGATTTAATTCTTGCATTGGATTTTGGAAATTGATTTTTGAATTGATTCCTTGAGAATATTTGAAATCTTTGCATTGATAATAAGAAAAATGCAAATTTAAGTCATGGAAATGTGTATGGGGTAAATACGTTTGTAAGTCCGGTTAGGAGGTGTAGATGAATTTGATAACTTGGCCTGAGTGTCCATGGTGAAAGACCAGAAACCCGTGTGATAGGTGTCGAGCCTTCCGGTTAATACCAGTAAAAATAATGATTTGGTAGTACTTGTATAGTCTACTTGCAGACACCAGCCTAGGGAATTACCAGTGTTGTATTTACCGCTCCTTGTTTCATGAAATGGATGATCAAATTGGTTATGCTTTTAAACAAATGCATGGCATGAGAATTTTGAAATAAGAAAACCTATGATTTTTGGCATTGGCATCTCATATGCATTGCACCTTATGATATTGTTAAACTACGTACACTTTATTTAGATTATCTCTGCTGTGCTTTATGCTCAACCCTTAGTGGAAACCATTTTTCAGGTGATTGTGGTGTGCCTCTGCCAAAGTGAAGGCGTGGAGGATCTTTTGGAGCATAAGGCTCAATTATTTATTTGTTTTGTTTTCTCTACAAGTCAAGGGCTATCTATGTATGGGTTTGAAAACCATTTTTGTTGTAACTGGGCAAAGCCTTGGAACTTGTAGCCGTTAAGGCATAAATTGTATTTTGTTGCTTTAATTTGTTATTATCACATCCCATAAACTCATATATTGAGGATGATGAATGTATGAATGCATGTGATTTCTTTTATGACTCTTACTAGAAAGTCATGAATAGAAAAGAAGAGGGGGTTTTGGCCCATACATTAATGAATATAGTATTTATTATTCTCTCTCTCATTTTAATGATGGAATAATTGAGAATTATTGGGCTTATCAAATGATATTTTGGGATCGTTACACCCCTTGTGGCAAAGAGGTGGAAATAGTAGACCACTTCATTTTGCTCTTTGTCCATGTACAAAGTGTGTGGCCTGCATGCCCTTTAGTTCTTACATTTTTTTAGGAACTACAGTCTGTCTTGCAGCTATCCAAATATGGCAAATATCTAAGTGGCCTAAGGATGTTCTTTGGAATCTGCTAGTATAGTTGGCAACAGTAGGTGGCATTTTTGAAAGGCATATAATACAAGTAGTGTTTGAGGAGCGAGCTAGAGAGTTCAAATTACATAAATCATAACCCGACTGTTCAACCCATTTATCCTATTAGTTTATATTTAAATAAAATTTAGTCTAAAATTACCCTCCAAAAATGGAATGAGTTCGCTATTACTACCACAAGAAAATTTCCCCGTCATCACTTACTGTTATCTATTCTTGGATTCTAGGGGGAATTCACAACATTTGTTCGAGTGTTCTTTTCTATTGATTAAGAGCTGACCTCATGATTTATCCCAAAAAAAAAAGAAAAAAAAAAGAAGAGGTGACCTCGTTCTTTTCATTCATTTGTGGGAATTTGATAATCTATCGTCTTTGCATCCTAACACTTCACTGCAGCTATTATCAAATCCTTCACCTCTATCTTTTATACCCAACAATTTCAACCTATTTTACTACACTTTGTTGTACTTTTCAGTAATAAACTTGCTATAATAAATTTAGAAATATTAAAATAATTATGTTACAAGTTAGTATTCATGTTATTGAGTATTCACAAGACAATAATATATTTAAAGGTTACAATGTCTTTTAATTATAAAAATACCACCACTACATATGTTAGTGGATGAAAAGATTATGCTTAATAATTCATAAGAATTATTATTTTTTTAATATCAAAATCCTATAAAAGTAAGGGATCGACCTGGGGTTTATGGCTCAGAGCTAAAAAATTCCTTTACATACAAAAAAAAAAAAAAAAAAAAAAAAAAAAAAAAAAACAAGCAAAGGTTTCACAATAAGCTCCAATGGGGTATATTGAAACTACACTTTTTCCTTCCCTTGTTAGCATACTGTAGACACCCTATTTTTGACCGCCCTTAAGACTTGGGCGCTACTGATGGTTTATTTGGTGATGAAAGTTGTGTCGTGCAAAGGTTCAATTTCATTGGCAAGGAGAGAGTCAAATCCCAACCTCCCACCCATTTTCGGACCAAAACTATCTTGACCAAAAGATTTTGAGACCCTGAAATCCTCTCTTTCAAAATATTTTTGAAAATTCTTCTGCGATGTTCCGACGCTTGTATTTTGTTAAATGTCGCGCTTTTCAGTAAACCGAGCAAGGACAAATTGGAAATGAATGAAAGAGAGATGAACTCTTGTGAAAAATATTTCAACACACCTTGTTTAGGGGTTTGGAGTTGAATAAAAGAAGAGAGGAGAGAAGAAAACAAGTTGGAGAAACTGTTGGGCATGAATCCTGGCAGGATCAAAACTGAGTAGTCTTCATTCAAATGGGCATAACGTTTTTCACAATTAGAATTTGGAAGTGAGGCTGACACCATTGGAAAGAAAACTTCTAGGGCTACAATTTAGGCTCAAGAATGACCTAAAAAAGAGTCCAGATGAAGGAGATATGTCCGGTTGAAGTCGGGCCCAAAAAGTAGATTTTTCTGTCCAACCAGAGGTGAAAGTTTATGACCATGAATGGGATTTTTGGGCCATGTGCCGGCCATGAATGGCCAATGCCGGCCCCCTGCTGTCCAAGGGAGTGTGCTGCCGGCCAACAATGGTCAAGTGCCGGCCAACAGTGGTACAGTGCCGGCCACAGATGGAACAGTGCACTTTTCTGCAGATAGTTTGCTCCAGCTGGTTACAACTGTCTCTCTTGAGATATTTTCGACCAAAGCTTGATATTTTTCCATACATGAGAGCCTTATATCTCATATTCAAGGGTTAGAACATTTTGGAAGAGCTTTGGGAGCCTCTCTCTCTACAT